CTCCTTCGCGTGAGCATAGTCTTTGTCGCTTATCTCGGTACCATTCAGTTTTGAATAAAATGCAGACTTTTTGGTGGCAACTCTTTCTCACTTAATCTTTCAATAGAATCCATGTAATCGTACAGATAAACTCCTTTCCTTTTCAAAAGATCAAACTGCTTGCCTATGTACATCTTTGCCAACTTTTTACACTGATTAAGATTCTTTGTCAAAGCATCAAGACTTGAGGCCATAAACCTAAAGCTGTCAACAAACCGCAATTCTTGCTTAACAATCACTTCTTTTCCTTCCTTAAATGAACTTGTCAACAACAACATCTCTGCTGAACAAAATGTACTTTTCTTCATTGTTCGGTATTCAATTTATTCTTTCGCCATTGTCACCTTGCAGCTTCTTGATGAATAGGTGGCTATCGTATCCGGAAAGTTTATGGAACATTACATGGAAAAACTTCGGTACTTTGAAATTTAGATTGCACCTATTGTGTGCCACGCCTCTAAACTTTCCGGTAAAGTGACAATGATCGCGAACTTTATCTTCATCACACAATTCACGTTCGCATATGTGGCACATAGTAGCCGAGGCATATCACTCTGCATCATATTTTGTAAATATCCTCCTCTTTGGAAACTTGAACCGTTGATATATATCCTTAATGTTTTGCACAAGCGAGTTGACGAATATCTGCGCTACATCATCGTCTTCGTTCACGACAGTGAATACAACAGGGTCTTGTTTATATACTGTATCATCAAAGCATATTATAAGGTAGCAAAACGAGCATGGAACGTGCTTCTGATACTTGTTTGTGTAAGACTCTTTGGGGTTTGGTTGGCACGTATCCATCGGTTTAATGAACGATTCAAAATCTGCATACACTACAAACAGCACTCTCATTAGCCTATCGTATTTGATGAAAGATAGTGTTGTGCCGGCTTTTGGGAGTTCTATCTTTTGGGCTCCGTGCAATGAACAATACTCATCGTGTTTCTTAAGAGCCTCAATTTTTCGGTATCCGGTCAAACATCTTTTGCTATAGTCCATTGAATAGATTGATTTTTCTGTTCGCTTTACCATCAGTCTGTTAAAGTTCATTATCCAGCTATAGTGCTTCTTGATGCCATCGGAAATAAGCAGCAGATTGACAACTTTATTGCTTTGGCACTTTGACACATACAAGGGGTATACATATGTTGTGTAACCAAAGACATTAATGCTGATGTTTCTTTTGAATCTGCTAATGATATTTTCGTCTACAGCAACAGAGAATTCAATACTGCTCCAATCGAGCTTCTCGGCTTGTTTCCTCAATTCCTTTGTTATTCTTTTAGGATTATGGTCTGCTGGATTCAACGCTTGCGTCATGCACCACTTGAAACATTGGTCATCTTTATTCTTCATGTTGACAATCGCTTTTTTGTTCGCTAAAACAGGCGGAAGCAGAGTATATGACTTACCCTTTAATGGTTTGTACGCAACGGTGTTTATCTCCAACCTTTACATGGCCTTGAACATCCAGTTACTGCCCTGCATCTGAAACATCACCATTGACTCCATTATCTTGTCAACAGCTTTGCTATACAATTTGCCGATATTGGTCACTTCTAATACAACTTTTGTCTTTGAACGAAACGGAGCGACGGTGCTGATAACTTCTCCGCTTTTCATATCGACGTGTTCCATCTTGCAATAAAGATGGAACACCTTGTTTTTGTAAAGCTTGTTGAAAATAGAATTGACTTGTGTTTTGAGCGCTTCGAGTTTTTCATTCACAACTCACTTTGGTTCTTCGGGCACATAGTTAATAATCCAATCAGCAAATGTGTTGATCTTGTCATAAACTTTCTTGGTAATTGAGATGGGTGTAGGCATAATAGGCGCAACCTGTATATCTGGAACTGACTCATTGAGTAGTAGTTTTGTAGTACCACTAAGTAGAGCCATCAACTCAGCCTTTCTGAGCTTTGAGTAAGCCCGCAGTCCTCGTTGTTTTGCAACGGCACACAACTCACAGTTACTTTGTTAACCATTTTATAGTAGGGAAAAATTTTGTTTAAGGCATATTCAATTTTGGAGTCCAAAAACCTGTTAGTTATCAACCATGTTTATCTCGTATCTTTCTCTCCATATTTTACCATTGTAATCAGTGAAGACTTTTGTTGAGCATCTTAGCACACGTCTAGCCTTGAAAATTGAAGGATATTCAGTTTCGATTCCTGTTTCTCTATCTTTAACTATCACCTTCATTGGGTTATTGCAGATCGATTTAAGGTGCACGTACTTTGGGTTCATGATCTTTCATGGTGTTGTGGGGGCCTCAGCAGGAACAAGCCCTCTTTCAACGAGAAGTTTAAAGATCTCTGGTTTGTTCATAGTCCTTATGCCTTTGATCTTGTTGTCTTTCATTATCTGCTTCAGGGCAGGAAGTGAATATTTCCTTTTAAGGTGCTCATACTTTGGGTCAAACTCTTTTGTGATCTTTTGTGGCTTTGTGAAAGCCTCAGCAGGAACAAGACCTCTTTCAACAAGAAGTTTTAAGATCTCTGGTTTGTTCATAGTCGTTACGCCTTTGATCTTGTTGTCTTTCATTATCTGCTTCAGGGCAGAAAGCGAATATTTCCTTTTAAGGAACTCATCCTTTGGGTTCACAATCTTTTGTGGCTTTGTGAGAGCCTCAGCAGGAACAAGCCTCTTTCAACGACAAGTTTCAAGATCTCTGGTTTGTTCATAGTCTTCACGCCTTTGATCTTGTTGTCTTTCATTATCTGCTTCAACTTTGGAAGTAAATATTTCTTTACTGTAGACATGTCTCTTTTGTTATATACAGAAAAAGATTTTAATGCATTTTCATTTTTCTCTTATGGGTGGATAGCAGAGACTTTTATGGTGTGGGAAATCCCCACATTTCTACTACTCATCTGTGCTCGTGTGCGGAGGAGCATGGGGGATTTCCCATGATGTCATCAGTGGGCGGGGCTAATCCTCAAGAATCAGCACGCATGCACAGATAAGCATATGTGGACAGGGCTAATTCTCAAAAGTGTGCCAGAATAGTCACTTTCCCTCTACTTACCAGGACAAAGGACCAGCAACAAGAAGATCACTTCTCACGGGCCAGGACAGATGACCTCAACAAGATGCCAAGATTTCCATTTTTACAGAGCTTCAGGTATTAGGGAAGCAACATGGTGGTTGAGTAATTCATAGTCCAATAACAAGCTTTTCCATACATATGTCAATTTACATCATCAAAAATTTCCTCTCTGTTTCCCTTAGTTATTATACCACATTCAAATTAATACATTGCTAGTTATAACTCAATCATTTAAAACATTTACCAATCACTTTTGACTTATATATCTCCAGATCCTGTTTTTAATTTTTATCTGATTTCAATTACAGTATTCCAATTAGCTTAATGTCCATAGTATTTAGATTTCGGATAGCCCACGGTTCCCTTAGTTCATTACAAAATAGTTATCATATCTAAAATACACTTATTATTTATTCAAATAAATTCTTAGTTTATTTCACAATTATATTCTACTTCTCATTCTGATATCATCACTTAGTAATAAAATAACCTTTGTCCTCTGAATCCATCTTCCATATTATAATTCAAAACTATTATTCTAGTAACTAATTTATTTGCCTTATAGGTCTAAATCCTGAATATTAAATCAATTAATGTCTTTTAAAATCTCCTTAGCCCATTAAGTGAGATTTTAGGCTCTTCCATTAAAGGTCGCATAAAGAAAATCATTTTTTAAATCTAACTCTGGCCTTCCTTTTGTGCCAAACAGGCTTCCATAGCAGAGCCTTTGAATCCTCGGGTGGATCTCCCTTCATTCCTGCATATGTCATTTGAATCAAGGGAGACCATCCAATTATCAACTTGTCAAGGAAGCTAGTCCCTTCATAGTCATTAGATTGTCTTTATAGTAATTTGAACTACCTGAATCTTCTGATTTCCCCAGCACTTGACAATGTCATCATTAACTGGACCAGTTTTGCATGTTATAGAGAAAATCCCACACATATTTAGGAATTTACAATGGCCACCATATCTCCAGGGTTATACAAATTGGTCCCAAGAATGGAATACTCTCTAGCAACTTCTCAAAATTCAGAAATAATCTCAGATGACATTCCCGACTAGGATTCTCCTTGTGAATGGCGTTACAGACTTTATGACATAAACATTACATATAAATAGCAGTACCATGCTCTTCATCATGCAAAGATCTTAGACAGACAGAAGAGGGACCCTACTTCATAAGTTAGCTTTATACAAGACAATGATGAGAAAGGGTAGCAAGAGCAGAGCTTGAGTCCATGTTCAGGTTTTTCAAAGATGTAGTTAAGCAATTCTCACTCTGTCAATTGATATAACTGGCCATAACTATATTCCAGTTAGGAATATTCTTTTTCTTATTTGGATGAAGAGGGAATTTCATTCCTCTGCTAGGAGTTGCAATCTTCTTGGCTATTATCTATTATTTGTCTCTAGTTTTAATTTGTATACCAAGAATTTTGAATATATAGTTTCTTTTACCAAGGAATAGAATTTCAACTCCATATTCACAACAATATGCAACTAAAACCAGATACTGATATCTTGGGTGTATAAGTACATGGTATAGATCTTCTAGATTGAGAGACATGGACAATAGTATGCTGGCTTAGAAAGCGGTCTCTTGGTTAGAGATCATAGCTTGCAGAGAATAGCATAAGTATGCCTAGGGTAACATGTGGCATCATCAAAATGTGCCAAAACCTGACAAGTTTTGCATCCTTACCATTAATGGGGAATGTGGCACAGATACAACTACAAACTTTGTCAGTGCTTATCTTACTAAAGACCAAGAAAAAAGCACTTTGCTTTACATTCTGCTTGGTAACTCCCAGCACCTGAGTTGCTGTTTGAACAACTCCCACTATACACATGAGAAAAGCATTCATAGTTAAATTATATTACATGTCTGTGTTTGTGTATTTACCTCATCCCCAATGTAATCATGTAACATTCGAATTACTGATGCTCCCTTGCTGTAAGAAATTGCATCAAATATTTCATCCACTTCAGATGGATGGCCTACATTGACCTAGATGTGAGAAAAGGAGTAAGTTATACAACAGATTAGGCTTGCAACTGAATACATATCAAATCAGAGTTACAATATAATCCCTTAATTTAAGATATCAAACACTTTGCTTTGTCCCTCCATTGATCAGATTTCTGTGCTGAAGAAACATGTGAAAATTTGCAAACTTCCACTAATTATTGTAGGAGGCACTCACTTCAACAGGATGACTATTGTCTAATGCATCAAGCTCCTGAGCTCTTGTGTAATCAGCAGAAACAAACTGGGACCAGATATCATATTCTGGAAAGCAATGGTCTACACAAAGGTACTCAATCCAGGATGCAAAGCCCTCATTGAGCCACAGATGAGTCCACCATTCCTAAACAGAAGAAAGAAATGAAGTATTAGGGAGCTTTGAGTAGCCCACCTTTACCCTACAGCATGAAATAAACAGACAGGGGCCAATGGACTCTTAGAAGCAGCTTAGAAAAAAGCAGCTGATATATACAAGGCATAAAGAAATTGTGTCTTTTCTCCCTTTCTGTGATTTGACCACTGAAGTAATGCTTTGTTTAGTGAGTAAAAATTTAAAATTGTAATTGTAAAATTAAAATTGTAATACAAATACAGTCAGTTTTCTTTGTGACAAATAAAACATATTAGCTGTAGGAGATGACCAGGTTGAGCCTGAGGGCGAGGTCAAACACATCATCAGTTTGGAGTCTCTACACCCCCATAAGAGACCTAAGTCCAGCTCCCCTTGAAGTCCGCTCTTATCTGGCGCCAATTTGCTTTGACTGTTAGTAGTTCAAGATTCTTGTATATAGGCAGCATAGAATAAACTTGTAGCACTTTTGAACCCTATCCTGGCCCCTGATTTCTTGCACCTGACATTAGCACTATTAAACTGCCACCAGATAAAAATATTGTTGAATATATACTACAATGATAAGAAACAGACAACAATTTTCATTGTGGTTTGGATTTTATCAGGCAATCCCAAACTCTGGGGCTTCAATGGAAAAAATGCATCGCCAGCATTAGCACAATTCTAAAAAAACTAATAACACTCTCATATTTTATAGCTTGACCACAGAGAAAAAGTTCTTTTTACAATGAGGGAAAAAATTATTTGATCCCCTGCTGATTTTGTACGTTTGCCCACTGACAAGGAAATTATCAGTCTATAATTTTAATGGTAGGTTTATTTTAACAGTGAGAGACAGAATAACAACAACAAAAATCCAGAAAAAGACATTTCAAAAAAGTTATAAATTGATTTGCATTTTAATGAGTGAAATAAGTATTTGACCCCTTCACAAAACATGACTTAGTACTTGGTGGCAAAACCCTTGTGGGCAATCACAGAGGTCAGACATTTCTTATAGTTGGCCACCAGGTTTGCACATATCTCAGGAGGGATTTTGTCCCACTCCTCTTTGCAGAGCCTCTCCAAGTCATTAAGGTTTCGAGGCTGACATTTGGCAGTTCGAACCTTCAGCTCCCTCCACAGATTTTCTACGGGATTAAGGTCTGGAGACTGGCTAGGCCACTCCAGGACCTTAATGTGCTTCTTCTTGAGCCACTCCTTTGTTGCCTTGGACGTGTGTTTTGGGTCATTGTCATGCTGGAATATCCATCCACGACCCATTTTCAGTGCCCTGGCTGAGGGAAAGAGGTTCCCACCCAAGATTTGACCGTATATGGCCCCCTCCATCATCCCCTTTGATGCGGTGAAGTTGTCCTGTCCCCTTAGCAGAAAAACACCCCCAAAGCGTGTTTCCACCTCCATGTTTGACGGTGGGGATGGTGTTCTTGGGATCATAGGCAGCAATCATCCTCCTCCAAACACAGCAAATTGAGTTGATGCAAAAGAGCTCGATTTTGGTCTCATCTGACCACAACACTTTCACCCAGTTCTCCTGTGAGTCATTCAAATGTTCATCGGCATACTTCAGACGGGCCTGTACATGTGCTTTCTTGAGCAAGGGGACCTTGCGGGCACTGCAGGATTTCAGTCCTTCACAGCATTGTGTGTTACCAATTGTTTTATTGGTGACTATGGTCCCAACTGCCTTGAGATCATTGACAAGATCCTCCCGTGTAGTTCTGGGCTGATTCCTCACCGTTCTCATGATCATTGAAGCTCCACAAGCTGAGATCTTGCATAGAGCCCCAGACCGAGGGAGATTGACAGTTATTTTGTGTTTCTTCCATTTGCCAATAATTGCACCAACTGTTGTCACCTTCTCACCAAGCTGCTTGGCGATGGTCTTGTAGCCCATTACAATCTTGTGTAGGTCTACAATCTTGTCCCTGACATCCTTGGACAGCTCTTTGGTCTTGGCCATGGTGGAGAGTTTGGAATCTGATTGATTGATTGCTTCTGTGGACAGGTGTCTTTTATATAGGTAACAGGCTGAGATTAGGAGCACTCCCTTTAAGAGAGTGATCCTAATCTCAGTTCATTACCTGTATAAAAGACACCTGGGAGCCAGAAATCTTGCTGATGGATAGGGGATCAAATACTTATTTCACTCATTAAAATGCAAATCAATTTATAACTTTTTTGTAATGCGTTTTTCTGGATTTTTTGTTGTTGTTATTCTGTCTCTCACTGTTAAAATAAACCTACCATTAAAATTATAGACTGATCATTTCTTTGTCAGTGGGCAAACATACAAAATCAGCAGGGGATCAAATACTTTTTTCCCTCACTATATATACTGTACTTTCTTAAAATTCTAGAAGCTTAGGCTATACAAGCAAGTAAGCAAATACAGACCTGTAGGGCAAACAGAACCCACAGTTTCTGTAACTGTAACCTACAGTATGTAAGAATGGAAGATAATAAAGCCTTTTGTTGTGTCTAAGGGGCAAGCTGCTCATAGTGGCTTATAGGCAAACGTCTCATAGTGGTTAAGAAAAAGATGGGAAAAGTTGTGGAAAATACACAAGGATTATAAATGGGGCTTCACATTGTCTAGTCTCCAATAAAATTTGGTAAATAAAGCAGGACACGTTTAGAATAAAAGGCTTTGTCTGGAGACACCCTTGATTATAAAAACATAATCAATACATAACAAGAGAGGTGCAGATATGTCTCAAGACTGAACTCCAAATCAACTAGTTTGACTTTTACTATGTAAGCTGTAGTGGTTCAGGCTCTTGAAAATTTTACTTTGAGCCTTAATAGAACTACCTAAGAAACAGTGCCAAAACTGAAAACATTGGTATTTTTCTCCCTGGTTTAGACAATCCTACAATAGTACCAATCTGCTGCTTTAATATGTTATACACATTCTTCCATTTACCTGTGGCATTATTGGGCCCTTCCCCATTTGCGCCTAACCATGGCACCATAACTTGACAGTAACATTTTTTTCTGCCATGTCCTTATGGCATTCTCTGTATTTATTTGTTAAATTTAGTATTTTATTTGTTAGATTTATATCTCATCTTTCATTCAGCAGCTCAAAGTAGCATATATAAGGATTCTTTTGTTCCATTTTTCTCTACAATAACAACGCTGTGAGGAGATTGGGCTGTAAAAGAGTGACTGGCCTAAAGTCACCCAAGTACCTTCCATGGCTGAAGGCAGACTAGAACTTTGGTCTGGTCTTTTCAGTGTTGGTTCAACACCTTATCACTGTAGCACACTGACTTTGTTTTATCTTGTCCCTGACATATAATGCAATAGTGCACATTGCATTTACAATGGAAAAATGAAAATGAATTATGCACTGCATGATTTGTGGTAATTGTAATATAAAATATGTGTAATTTAGTGTTGCACCCACATTCTTAAAATATAATGAAGAAGCTATGCCATAAAAATACTAGGAAGAACTATCAAGGAGTTTTGTTTGGAATTCAGAATAGATTTAATTATTTTGCCGGCATTTCTTTTCTCTCCTCTACTGTGAAATGAGCTGATGAACTCATGATTGTGCTTCCTGTTAACATTTCACATTAGCACAGCAGAGTGATAACACCAGCTCTTCCTGCTCAGGGTATCTATGTGCCAATAGTTACCAAGTGCAAACATGTAGGAAAAAAGAAGTCATACTGATAAATGTGAAAAATAAAGGAATGCTTTGGTACAATCAGGACTATAAAAAAAAACAGCTTTCTCCAGAGCCCCTCCCACATGATAGAAAATTTATTTGGTAATGCTATGTGGTGTTTTGGAGTTGACAAAAAAAGTACTCTGGAGTGCATGCATATAGGAACTGTCTGCAATTTCTTGCAGCTATATATGTTCCCCAGGATCATGCAGTTGCATTCTACTGCTACAGCAAAATCTGACGAAACAACAAATTTAGGTTAAGGAGTTGTAGACAGGTTCTATATATGCCCCTCCATGTGCTAGAAGTTACTTTTTGCTTTTAAATAGAAAACATTGCACAATCTTACTGGTCACACAAAGCTGTTTCTCCCATTTTCTTTACTGTTCTAATGCAGGGGTGTCAAACTGCCGGCCCACGGACCGGTTGCATCATACGGAGGCCACACCCACCCCAGCTCCGGCAATGCAAAAAAAGTCGCGACACGTCGTGACACGTCATGTGACGACGTGAGTTTGACACCCGTGTTCTAATGTACGGTAAATCAAATGCTAAAAACACATGGTTTATGGTTAATACTTTTCCATTTCTTTTTTTTTATAAATATTTTATTAGGTTTTACAAGGGTAAGGAAAGGATGGGATCAGTATGGGTATTGGGTAGGGTTCAGGGGTGGGGTTAGGGTAAGGGTCGGTACAAAAATGGGGTTGCCTCCAACGATAATTCCATGCCTTGGCAAGCAGACTGTCGTCCGGATACAAATATTAAGTAACAGTAATTAATATAATGGTAACTAACTATAATAAATAACAATAGCGATAATCCTAACAATAATAACTAGTCAGTGGATATCATTCATCCTATTAAATTTCATAATCCTTTCTCACTAGATCGTGTTGCTAACCATTGATAAATTTTTTCCCATGTTTTAAAATAAACTGAGTCTTCTTTCTCTTTAATCTCTAAATTTAATCTATCCATTTCTGCACATTCTAAAATTTTTGTAATTGTAATCTGGTCAGATGGTAAATTTTCATTTTTCCAAAATTGGGCGAATGCTATTCTCGCTGCTGTCAATACATGTAATATTAAATATTCATTCTCTTTTCCATAATTAAGTCCTAGTATTCCCAACAAAAACAATTCTGGGTTGAGGACTTCCGGCTGTGACGTCATCGTGGAGCGGGTGAAGGAATAGAGCTCTGTTCCTAAATCCCGGGAAATCTTCGCTAAGAGCCCAGAAAGGGCTTTGCCGATCCCGGAGAGATTGGTAAACTAAAGAGGAAGCTTCAGAGAAGCCGGGTGGAACGCA